TCTGGAGGACAGGATAGAAAATGTACAGAAATAAACTGTAATCGTGGCCAGTGGTGATCAGCGGGGATAAATATTAATAAACACTACCAACCTCTGACAAATTCATAAGAAGTGATTGCGAGAGCTTCACTCATTTTGATGTGGGCTGTGTTAGGGTGTGCAGGTGGAGAAATGGGGGAATAACAATAAAGTTGAATTCTATTCTATTCTATTCTATTCTATTCTATAAGCATCTGTTTGCTCCGGTGTGACATGTAACTTGTGTTTTTGCCAACTGTGCATCCTCAAAGTGAGCGCACTCTCATTATTATCATTTGTGTCTTTTGTCCTATTGTTGTCAGCAAGTTTCTTCAAGCAATAATAAGTGGACAAAAAAATGAGCACTCAGAGAGAAAAATCACAAATGTAGAACCTAAACACACACATCCACACATGTGCACACACACACTGAAAGATAGCTTCCTTTATCTCTCTCTCCATCTGAATCAGTCTCATTAGCCATGCTAAGGCCGTAGCTTCGCAGGGTTGGTCTGCACGCTGCGCTGTAGGGTTGGACGCCGGCCCAAGGCAGAGAAGGTCACCCACCACTCAGTTTAATTCCCACAAGACCAGCTCTGGCCCCTTCCTGATAATGAGCGGCTATAAATTTGTGCAGGGTTAGATGTGGAGCTCTGAACACACCCATCACAGCTGGAAAACATGGTGACAAAAAAACCCGCCAAAAAAAATGGGGGAACAACTTCAATAAAGTTTTTACCTTAAAATGAGAAAAGTGACATATGTATGGCTCTTAAAAAGAGGAAAAATCTCAAGTGATAAGTTAATATAAAAAAAACTAACATACAAGTTTACCGCATCACAACATAATGTATGCAGTTGGTACATGGCATGAAAAACTTTTATCCTGACTTACTGTTGAGAGATTTATTTTCTGATATTTTGCAATGTCTTTTAAAATGTCTGATATATAAGTATGGGTCAATCTTGAGATGTAAGAAATATAACCACAGCTACAGAGGGCAGACACACACACACACCCACACACGCACACGCACACACACACACCCACACACGCACACGCACACACACACACACACACACACACCCACACACACACATTTCTGGATTTTTATTCCAAGCTCAGCCTGAACTAAAAATGAATCAGTGCTTGAAAGCAGACATAAATTTTATATAAGTGAGCAATCTGAAGAGATTTGTAAGAGCAAAGGAACACATTTAGGACTTCAACTAAACATCATTTTGTTCTTGAGTAATCAATTATTCTAATGATTAATCATACAAAAATGGCACAATCTACAGATTTTTCATTTAAACACTCAAACCTTCTTTATACATTATATCTATATTATATATATATATATAGATAGATAGATAGATAGATAGATAGATAGATAGATAGATAGATAGATAGATAGATAGATAGATAGATAGATAGATAGATAGATAGATAGATAGATAGATAGATAGATAGATAGATAGATAGATAGATAGATAGATAGATAGATAGATAGATAGATAGATAGATAGATAGATAGATAGAGATAGATAGATAGATAGATAGATAGATAGATAGATAGATAGATAGATAGATAGATAGATAGATAGATAGATAGATAGATAGATAGATAGATAGAATAACAGATGGACATAAAATGCAGAACTATAGTTTAGTGGTGAAGATAAAACTACACCACTTGAGAATTTTTAGCTAAAACATATTTACGGAATTATGTTTTTTTTTTTTTGTTTTTTTGGGTTTTTTTTTAAAAATCTTAAACACAAATATGCTTTGGTACAGTTTTGACTTAATTACTGCACCGAATGCTTTTTTTTTTCACCAAATGGCCTTTTTTTAAATTGTACATTCCAGTTAATGATCTATCAATTAATATTTTAGTTGAATATTATTTAAAAATTAGTTTAATCTCAATTAATCTTTTAAGCTGTATACACATTTGAACATCCAACTCCTGGACTGGCTGTTTTTCAAAAACCAGCCAACAGCAGGTTGGAACGTTTTATGTTTAAACCACATTTATGCTGTTTTTATGGTGGCATAATATCTCTTGTTACAACAAGATGCATGATTTATAACATGATCATTTGTCATCTGGCTTGTTAAGCAATGATCTCATTGCACCGAAGATCCTCTCAGGTGACGTTAAAAGTTTAACAACATTGGAGTAAAGAGAAATGTCCGACTGTTCCCTCTGATTCCAGTACATCTCTTGAACTGAGCCAGTAGATCAGTGACCACATGATGCTGGTGAAAGAGCAATGAGCTGTCACCGCTCTCGTCAGGATACATTGAACATGCCTGTACCACCAGATCATAAATTCATCACGGTGACATCCTGGAGCAAGTGCCGTTGACTCGACCTTGATCGATCGCAGGCAGAACGACAGATGGCCAGAAAGGACAGTCATACCGTATATATCTGTACGCCCATTAGCATAATGACATGCATATGCAGTACAAGTCATCGTACAAGGCCACATTGGGTTTGGATAATGTCAGAGGGTAAGTGTCAGAGACACTCGATTAATTGTTTGAAATAATAAATTAGTAGGTAATTGTATTTATGTGAGAGATATTAAAGAACACAAAATTGTATTGAGAAAGCACCACTGATTTTGAAGATGGTGGTTTTAGTTTTACGAGTTCACAAAGCATATATTAATCACCTAAATGTCAAAGCTATTGCTTATTTTGTGTTCGCACTCATTTACCTGACCATTACCTTCCAACACAATTCCATTTGATTCTCATCTCCTGTCAGTTCTCCATCTGGGATTTTTCCCATTGAGTTTGACTTTTATGGTAGAATATTAACCTAGCCAATAAACCAAAGTGGAGTTGTGAAAAATGTCAATTTTTTGCGTTGTTTTCAAATTATAGTCTGCCTGGGATTTTAGTTTGGCAATGGCAGCAGGGGAAGTGAACAAAGCTGTTCAGTCTGTGTTGGCCATGCTTCCAAATGTTGAACGATTAAAGTTTGAGCAAGAAGAATATTTAAGAAAAATTTTTTTTGCAGAGAAAATATGGTCATACATCCCACAGGGTTGATGACCATGTACACAAGTTCCAGCATAGCTGGGCCATCACAAATGTCACAGTCAAACATGAGCAAAATCAGATTCAATTGCTTCAAACTTCAAACATGGTCCAAACCTCCAGCAAGCAGTGACTTCTCAATAGTCAAGGGTTCAGACCCTATGGATGAAGCAAAACGCAAAGCCAGGTATCTGGTTTTACCAGGCTATCTCTAATGGGAATAGTTCCCAAAACATAGAAGCCACTTGCTACCACAATCTGTATGGGTATGGATGAGCATGCAATCTATATTCAGATCACAAAAACACTTCTGGGAAATCCTGTCTTGAACACTCACCGAGTTGATGCAGGCCAGCTCCTTGTTGAGCAGCCAAACTAACTATAATGACATTCTACAATCATTGACAGCTCTGGTAAAGAAGCTTTAAATAAAAATGTTGCGGAGACTTAGTGATTCCCAGAATATTACTATTTAAACTGAAAGCACGGGAGATTATTCTTACCTTCCTAAATATCCTCCTCGTTGTATCTATTGGAAAGACAAACTCCAGACTTGTTTGTCTCAGTTCCAGGTTTATTCGATTGATTAGTTACAACGAATGATGGTAGATATCGGATGGAAGGGTCATATCCTGAATTATGAAACTCTAAAAACATCTGCTGTACTTTTTGAATAGTAGCTAAGAGAAATGGGAGTCTGTGTCACATCATGTTTACTTCCAGGGAAAGAATCAGGCATGGATTATTGAGTAAAAGTTCAAAACAAAATGTAGGTCAACATAGTTTGCACAGATTTTACACAATTTGCAAAAACAATCATTTAAAAAAAGCTGAAGAGAAGGTGGAAAGGAAGCTGGAGAGAATCAAAGTATTGAGGGAGATTGAGACAGAAGCAGCAAAAGAAGACCAAACAAGAAATAGGTTAAAAACTAAAACCTTAAACACAATATTTCAAAACAGAGCAAGAAAGCAACTGAGGTAATAAGAAGCCCAGGAAGCTTGAGGTTAGCAAAATGAAAGAATTCTCCATGGAAATGATGGGACTGGAGTAAAAGATAGGAGAGAAATAGAAAATAGAATAGCAGAGAAAGCAAGCGGATATGGAGGCAGAGAGGTGTGGAGTAGTCCAGAGATTTATGGCAGGTTGTTATGGAGCACCGACTGAATAACGGAGGGTGAGACCAGGTGAATTATTCATGACCATACTGGGGCTGAGAGTGTGTGTTACGCGCCAGTGACGGGAGCAAGTGAAACACACAAATACTAACTTCACTCACAGACACTCCTAGGAAAGCTGAATAAAAGCATTGACAAGCCGTCATCAACTTCAGATCAAATTATATAGGGACACAACGTTCCACAGACCAGAGAGCAAAGAGATATCTGGACTACACTGAAAACCAGAATCAGGAAGGAAATTATACTTTCATCCATCTGGGTCTTGTTAATGTCAGTGCTAATAAATGTTTCTTATAATCATGCAGTACATCACAAGCAGGAGTCAATTTATTCTGATTTAGTTAACTTAGTTCTGAATCTGGAAGCATCTTTCAATTTGTTCCTGTCTGTACAGCAGTCAGGCTGGAAATGTTTCAATTTAATGTAAATACGTCATATGCCTTGAGCTGATTAGAGGAAACATACTCCTCTGGCTAACTGGTGTTACCTTTAGCATTTAAATACAATCTGTAAAAAATTGTTCAATGCCATCCTACTATCACAAAGAGTTCTTAAAGGTCTTTTTTTAATTATTATTCTCCTGGTATTTATTTATAAAAAATAAATAATAGCAGTTCAGCCTGCTTTGAGCTGCTGACTGGAGAATGGATAAATTGCTACCACAATCTGTATGGGTATGGATGAGCATGCAATCTATATTCAGATCACAGAAACACTTCTGGGAAATCCTGTCTTGAACACTCACCGAGTTGATGCAGGCCAGCTCCTTGTTGAGCAGCCAGGGCAGGGAGAGTTTTCCCTCTCCTTTGTAGCATGACTGAATCCTCTCTTTAATCTTTTCCTTTATCTGCCTCATTGTGAACAAACACAAAGCCGACTCCTTGGGCGGTTTGGCTCTGTTCTTCTGACCTTGGGCGAATACAGTGAACAGAACCTCCTCGTGCTCTCGAATACCAAGAGAACGTGCCAAGCGGGTTCCTGGTCGGGCCAGGTAGGCATCCTGAACCAAGCGGTACTCCACTCCGTCCTTAGTGCAGCCGATGGGGAATTCGACATACGAGTAGAACTTGGGGTCGTCGACACACAGGCGGACAATCTTGGAGGTGAAAAACTGTTCGCTGCTCGCATCTGGCGAGGTGAGCTGGGTGTCAAGTTGTAAGGTGAGGTAATAGACAAACTGCTCACTGTTGAAGCCGTAGATGTAGTAGATGTCAAATGCCGGGAACTTGGACAGGGTATCGGAAGGAATCTTAAGCTGTGAAGATACAAATTCGTCCTGGTACACAAAGCTGAACATGTCGGCATTCTCCTCGTTCGACATCAGCTTGCGACTCGACAGCGTAGGAAAGTACTCCGATTTCCCGTCGATGGGGGTGCCGACGAAGAGCTTGCCGCCCCCGCCAAAGATGTCAGGGGGGATTACCACACCAGACATGGTGCCCGCCTCTGCAACGCTGGATAGATAATGCTCTTTACGGTGGTGTGGCTCACCAAGCTTAAATAAATCATCCAGACGCAGGAACTGGCATATTCCCTGGGAAGTACTCCCACACGCAATTAAGCGGTTGTGGGCAGCATCGAGTAGCAGGAGTTTATTGACATTAGAAGTCTGCACTAGCTCATGTGGGCAGGATTGGACACCAGGAGGAGGGTAACAGCGAGGGTTGTCGGTGACGGGCCCGGTGACATGGCTCCGCAGCTTGGTGAGGTTGCCAGACAGCTTGTAGATCCAGTTGACGGCCCCCAGGTAGACCTCTCCGGTTTTGTTGTGGACCACCAAATGTGTGAGACCACCTTCCGGCGGAGAAAAGGAGAGTAGAGGAGAGGTGGGGGGAGTGGTAGATGTGGAGGTCTTAGGGAGGGAGAGGAGAAGGAAGAGCAAGGGGAAGATGAGAAGGGGTGGATTAAAGTGTGAGGACATGGTGGTGAGGGGAGGGAAGTGGGTGTATGTTTTTGAGAGTGTACTCCGTAAAAGGGTCAGTCGGTGCCTTATACGACTGCAGGGTATAATGATGTAAAAGTAGAAAAAAAGTCTCAAAGTAGTAATCTCCCTGTTCTCTTTTATCCTCCTTTCTCTGGTGGAGATTTTATATCCTCATCCCTTGATCCTCAGCCATGCCTGCCACCAGCCCTGAGAGAGAAAGAAAGCAAAATATTAGCAAAGATTTCAAATATTTTCATGCACTCTTCTTTTGGATATTAGAGAACTAATCAGAATTACTCAGCAATAAAAAGGATGAGGCAAGTGTTTAAATCCTGGGTCCAAACTCACCCAGGATTTAAAGACAAGGCCTGGATGAAGAAATAAATCTAAAAATAAGTGTGACAATAGAAAGGACTGCTGGATTTACTTTATTGACTTCTCTACTCCTTGAGAATTGTTTTTTTAAGACTGAGCAAAACCAGGACTCTGTGTATTGACAGCTTAAAGGTATTAAAAGATTCAGTTGAAAATGTGAACACCAGCACACAGACATAGCCATATTTTATGTTGGAAAATTGTGATTCTTCTTTACGATGTTGCAGATCAGTCGGTGTTTGCGGACCACAGTTCTCTGCAATATGTAGTTCTTGTGTGACAACACTTCTGTGAACTTTCTAACTGACAGCCATCTTGGCATCCCACCATTTTTTTTTTTCACTTTTCTTAAACCCTTTGAAAAGGGAAAACATGCAAATTCCATGCAGAAAGACTGTCAGGTTAATTGGTCTCGTTAAAGTCTCTTTACATGTGTATGGTGATTTGTCTTGTCTGTCTCTGTGTTGTCCTGCCTCTCACCCGAAAGGTTTGCGCTTTGCGGGGGATAGGCACCAACCTGACCCTACTAGGGACAAGAGTGTACAGAAAATGGATGGAAATAAAAGAATTCGGTCACTTTTTAAAATAACAAAACGGTGCTGGAGAATACCATCCAAACTGATAAACTAAAGAAATAACAGTGAGAGGGACAAAAGTGAAAACTATTTGGCTTCACACCAGCAGAATATAAAGTCAGTGGAGATGGTGAAAACAGATTGCTATGAAACTAACAAAAAGAAAGAGAGATGAACCATCCATCCACTTCTTATCCACTTCTTATTACAACCATCCATTCATTCATTTTCAATAATCCTCTTATCTGATCAGAAGGCAGTAGGCTGGGCAGGGTCTTAAAATGCAGTTGAGGACAGGTAAGGTCTTGAAAACCAGATTTGCTCCTCCACATGCTAAAGCACTAACACCTTCTTGAGTCTTTTATACTCTGTGATGGGGACAGTGGATGTTGCTGAAGATGAGAGTGTTGGAAGTTAACACTTCTTTGCAAAATAGAAGTGGTAAAGTCTGAGAAAAACAGAGAATTAATTTCCATTAATGTTTTAAACACACTATGTTGCAACATGGAAATGATTGTTTGTAAAACCAAGACTCCTTTAATCTCAGTTTCAAAACTTTTAAAATAGAAAAGAAGAACCCAACCATACAGTATGCTCCAGAATGAGATTATCTCTGTTTGACAACTTTAAGTAAAAATAGTAAACATTGCTCAATCCATTCCTCTCCTAAGTAAGAAAAAGTTAAAAATAAAATTAGTAAATTTTGAAAAAAAAAACATGCATTTTTGAAGCCTTGTTACAGCTTGTCAGTAACATTAGCCTCTGCTGAACATAGCAGAGGCTAATGCTCTTTATTACTTCAATGGTGCATGCACAGCCAGGTTCAGATCATGAGGGAAAGGCTTGTATCATAATAGCGTTTGGTCAGCAAACTATTCTTGTCTCCAATTTCTGCTCCTTATTCTTCCTTTCATTACATTCCTCTCTCTCCTTCTCCTCTCAGACACTTTCCTTCCAGTCAATAGTGTCTTTCATGTCCTGGCCGGCCCTGATTACAGTGGCCCTGATGACGATGCTGCTGCCCGTCCCATCAGGACAATCCGGCCACTGTTGCTGTCTCAGACACTCACACTGAAAGCATGCAACACAGACGTACAGTGTGCTGTCCAAAACCAATTCAAACAAGTACACTAGATTAAATTTACCTCAACAAAATCTATGCTTGAAATCTAGAGACCTAAAATGAACAAACTGAATGTATTTCTGTAAAACAAAGCATTATCCACAACAGAGAAAAGGAAATGGATGAAATACTTGTATTAGTTGATAAAAGACATGAAAATGAAGCTATTCATGCTACTCTCCTTTCTCATAGTTTTCTGATCTACTGCAGACATGCTATAAATAGCATGAAGCATGGACTTGGTATCAATATAGACTTAATAACCAGTGAAACTGTTCTGTGATGTCAACAGCTATTTGACTAAACTAGGACAAATAGATGAGAGGAGTGAAGAAGACATACAAGAACACAGAAACAAGGTAGTGATTTAAAAGTCTGTCTTTAAATAGCAAAATTAGATCAAAAGGAGAAAAATGTTCTTTATTTGTAAAGAAATTTGTAGAGCAGTGACTGTGGTGAAATAAATGATAAAAGAAAATCAGACAAAAAAATTGGGACAGGATATTCTAATGGGAACAAATTCCCATCTTTGTACACACAGAAAGATGTCCTTGTTTAGTCATAATACAGCCTCACAATCTCACAATATCTTACTTACAAAGCATTCTTTATAAAATTACATTTTATGCTATATGTACATATTAGGTTTTGAAGTCTAATCTTTTTAAATGACACTCAAGAGAAAGTGGAGCAGTGACCAATTACACCTGGATGGCAGCAGCCCTGAATTAGGGTGATGAACTCCAACATTAAAAATTGTGCTATACAGTCTGTTAATGGGAGGGAAGGTGCTCTGAGTGTTCAATGAGACAAAAAATGTGTTATATGAAAAAGAACCCATAAAAAAATCTAAATTGTCCTAATAACATTATCTACAGCCAACTCCAGCTGTAGAACGGGACAAACTCGACCCTGAAAACTGGTCAGGATTTTGCATTGTCCTATGAATGATTACTTTGAAACTTTCGTGCACACTTGAGTCCATTTAGGTTTCTGTGTTTGAAATCCGCCTGCCACATCGGATGAAACGACTGTCGCATTCAGGTTCGCCCTGAGTTGAGTTATTGCTGTTGGCATATCAGTTGCCCACACAACCACAGATCCTGGCCAAACACTTAGGCAAATGTATACACACCACTTCTTTAGCATTTAGCTCACATGCCTGCTGGCCTCACTCTATTGGTCTAGTTGAAAATTTGCATCCTTGAGATTTCAATTCTTGTTTTCTACCCAAACACAAACAGAAACATGTCTAGGCACATTAGCCAAAACATTAACTCTGTGCATATAATACATAAACTTAAAGTCCAAATAAATTACAAGCAAAGCTAAAGATATGAATTCATCCTGACACTTTTTCAGGTTTCTCCGCCATAGTCTCCTAAACAAATGGCGGAGAAGAGTGAAATCAATGGCGACAGGAAGTGGATTAAACTACTTTAAACTTTGACCTACTTTGGTTACCCTGTTGATTAATGCAAGCGACCTTGGAGGGATGCATTCCTGCGAATAATCACTTGCATAATCAAGTCACAACACTGATAGCAGGCTTTGCAACTTACTCTTAAAATTTAAGTTATTTTTTTTATACCTTGCACCAAAGGTACAATTTATGTGAACTTTAAACCTGTTGGCAGGTGACCTTTGAAGCAGTCAATTAACATCTAATCAAGACTTTAACCTTAAAATATAGCATGTTTGCAATTAAGTCAGATGCACAAGTAAACATGTTTTCGCCTTCCTTTTATTTTGAGACGACAGAAAAGGTGAAGGCATATCCTTCCACATGCTTGATGGTATGAATTTAATAATAAAGGCATACTTCAAAGATCAGAAGAAAACAGTCAGTGGCTGGAATTAGAAGATTTTCAGCCTGGCAGATGACCGACCAATAAAAATGAAGGTTATACTGACAACAAGAGTCTGTGACCAAGAAAATAAATGTGGAAGTGAACTAACCAGGCTAGCCATGCTGATCACTAAAAATGACCAAGCATTAAAAAAACTTACATGATGTGGAATTTAATTTTAGCACAAAGCATGTTTAATCTAAAAATGGAATGACTGTCAGCATTTGGAAGGATAAGTAACTGAATTCAGTTTTCCAAATCACTGCTGTGCATTCAACAGATTCTTTAGCTGCAGGCGAGGCAAACATCTGCACCAGGCATGTGTTCTGGATCTGAGATGTTCAGTTCACTTTTTAGGTCCAGGCGTCTTGCAGCAGATGGTGGAAACATTAGTCCCAATTCAGGTCAGATCAGGACAGAGGACAGGAAGACATGAGACAAGGGCCAGAAGGCAGACACATGGTTGAACATGAGGAGATTTCTATTTGAAATCTATTTTTCAAAAGGCATAATATTGACGTGAGCTAATGCTGCAGACAGCTGTCCACTCACACCCAGCTTTTGTTTTGTAAAAAATAGAGAAAAGAGGGATGATTCAGGTTTTTTATCCAGGTTCACAGATGACAGGAAAAAACTTTCCAAATAGACGTATTTACCTTTTTTAAGTATATGAACAAGCATGAGGACACTAATATTTCTGGGAAATCACTTTTCAGAAAATGCTTAAGATTACAATATTTCTATTTGAAACAGAAATATTTCTCTAATCAGAAATACTGATTAGAGACCCAGGCAGATGTTTTTCAATCAGTAGGAACTGATTGACTGTTTGTCTTATTGACTTTTCCCATCTACAAACTTGTTCATGAAATTTGAACTGTATTTCTTATTTAATAGCAAAACTGCATTTGAAAAATAGTGTTTTTTGACAATAACTGAATATCAATAAAATTGTACTTTTAATATAGCAGATTCTCCTTTGCTTCAGTTCAAATCCACCTGTAATCCCTGTAACTACACAGTTCAGCCTCGTCTGACCAAACATGGGCATTTCCAGTCAGAATTCATGAAAATAAAAAAAGCTTTAGTTGTCTGAATAGGACACGAGAAGGTAAAAGTTCATGTGAAGAAAATGTGTGATGTGGAGGGCATTAGGTCTGTGGTCCAGTGTTTGTGTGAGGACATGTGGGTTGCAGCAGCACCATGCAGCGGGACACAGTGGTTCACTGGCAGTCGCATTCCACAGCTGACACACTGACCCCACAGACAGCTGCGTGGACACAT